GGAAAGGGAAGGGAGGGGCGGAAAGGAATTTTTCAAGTTATTCCAGTATTCTCGTTTAATACGCCGGGCCGTCTTTGTTCGGGGTAAATGGGTTTATAAGGAAAATTAATGATGAGTTCCTCGATTTCCCCCTCCGCCCTCTCTCTTTCTTTGCTGATTTTGTGTTTTTTTTTTTTTTTGGTCTTGTTATGAGTTTTCTACAGAGACAGCAGCCTCGCGGATTGAGTAACATCGGTCGCCCATTCCCATTTGCGCAAAAGCATCGCTTGTCCTAATATTCAGCTTATCGCGAGCCTCACCTACCGTCCTTTAACCGAACTCGTAAGACTCGCTCCGCTTATTGTAACCGTTCCCCACGAGGCAACAGCCGCCCGCTTATTATCAGTGTGACATTGTGGCATTCGTTTAATAGCCGCAATCTCGCGTTTCTTTTCTTTCTTTCTTTTTTTGTTTCTTTCCGAACAAATTCAGCGCGTGTGTATGTTTGTGTGTGTGCGTGCGTGCGTGCGTTCTTTTTTTTTCTTTTTACGATTTTTTTGTCGTATTATGTAGTCAAATGGCCCCGCTCATCTTATTATTTCACCATATAGCCATTGAGATTGTTGCTTGTCCGAGAACAACATCAAATAACCAATCACGAAGCGAGACGCGTGGACATCTGCAGCCACGCCCCGTATTTCTGAAACCGTCGGTGACTCTGCACGATGACATGTGGTTCCCCCACGTTTACAAATCATATGCTAGTACCAAAATCGAGTTTCATTCTACACCTCGTCTCACAAAACGATGGACTCCGACCGAAGCTGCGGGTGACGCAGGGCCAATCACTATACTTCGTTTCAGCTTAGGTCCGAGCGCGGCCAATCTTATGATCCGAAGGGCCAATCAAACAGTGAAAGATGCACGGCGTCATGGCGTGCTCTCTGTAGTTGATAGGACCAGCCGGTATTCGCCGTCTCTCTGTGCACTGCTCCTCTGCGCAGAGAGCGCGCCATGACGTTGCGCTTTTTACGCTGTTTGATTGGCCTTTCGGCTCATAACATCGGCCGCGCTCGGACCTAAGACGAAGCGAAGTGTAGCCAGTTAAAAATCGCGTGGTATTTGCCTCCGATGAGCGCACCAGTGGGCACGCTTATACTCACGTCGAGGAAATGTACCACGTGACTTTTACCTGGCTCGTGATTGAACTTGGCGGCGTGTATGGTTCTGGCTGTAGATCGTCGTTGGCTGATGGCGAAATACATAAAAATCTTTCTCATCTTGTTTCTTTCTTTCTTTTTTTAGTGGTTACGTTTTGGTAGCAAAGTATCACTTGTCCTAAAACTACGTACCGTACATTTTACTATCGCTTCACGGTGAATCCGATTGTAGCCTCAGCCCGATAAGAATGCCGATCAACGAATCACAAAGCAAGAGACAGCTTTTGAGCGCGTATCACCCCGGCGAAAAACGCCGAGTGACTGGGCTGTGAATGCGTGTCTGTCATTCCGCCGAAGAGATCTACTGGGCATGCGCAGGACGCGTTCCACAAACCCGTAGACAAAGATGGCGGCGCGCGGAGGGCGATTATTGTAATGGTTGTTTGTCGTGTCGATACACGTTGGTTAACGGTTCACATATTTGTTAGTGTATAGCCTTTCAAAAATGGCGAAAGAGTATGCAATCGCACTGCTCATACAAAAACCATTGTGTGCGTCGTATGTACAAAAAAAAAGGCATAAGACCGTCTTCTGTGAGATGTATGAGAAGTGTGAAGGTAATTTAGACGCCCATTGTAGGCAGGCGAGTCGCTGCTTCCCCGGTCTGAAACGCGGTATTGTCGCAGTTCCGTTATAATCACTCTGTCACTATAACGTCAAAATTCTACGTTGAGGACGGAGGGATAATGTGATTTCTACTGATTAGGATGCTGAGCACCGACAGGAGTGCATGGGCGAGGTCGCTGCACTATGGAATATACATGAATCGGTGCTTTCAAAAGATAGCGGATGTAAGTACGCTCGCCTGTTCACTCGTTCGAGTATAATCGTACACGTGCGAAAAAGAACCTTTGCCAAGGCGGGCTGCCTGGGGCTGGCTTAGGTTTGCGGGAATTATGACCTCCATTTATTGTAACACTTCACCGTTTGATCTTCGCTTATTGTAATGCTTGGTGATTCGATCTCCGTTCAATGTCATACTTGGGGATTCGACTCCGTGTAATGTAATGCATGGCGAGTCCATCTCCGCTTATTGTAATACCTAGTGAATCGAACTCTGTTTCTTGTAAGATTTGGCGATTGGATTTCTGTTTATTGTAATACCTGGTGATGTTGCCACAAATAACATATTTAAGCGCGCGTCCCGCGGTCACGGTATCACTCAGGTACGCGCTTAAAAGCGTGCTTCAATGACTCCGGTATGCGGTACACGGAACACGGGAACGGTTTGCTAAAAGTGCCTATTAAACCGAGGCCGATAGTGTTTGGTACTATTTCGTTAATCAGCGCTTCTTTGTTTTCTAATCGTATATGTCTGCTATAACCGTGCTGTCGTTTTCAAAAGACCTCTCCAGTCAGACATTTGGCTACAAAGACGGATGGGTTTTTATAACCTCGTGAGCACGTGCGTTGATTTCTAAGGCCGACCGATCGCTGTGGTTACTCCGCTTAGTGTGACAGTCCTTGACGGGCGGGAAAAGTACAAAAATAACAATCGTGAAAGGCAACGGCGGTCGGATTGCGTGACACTCACCAGCCCTTTCTTTTTTTCCAGTTGGAAATTTCCGATTGGAACGTAGTTCGCTTAGTGTAACAGTGCTTGACGGAGGGGCTGAAATGTACAATAAGCGTACAAGGCAACGGCTTCCGGTTTGCGTGACAGTTCCCCGGCCCTTTTATTTCCAGTTCTGCCTATCGATCGGCCTGTCTCTTCGAAATGAGTAAAGATGGCACCCGAGAAATGAAATACGGGACGGAAAAGGGTGGAGAGGAGGACTGTTATAGGCGAACAATGGATACACACAGACGTACAGACACATACACATACAATTGGCGGGGGAGAGGGAAGACAGATGTACGTGTCAAGGCTTAAATGTCGAGCCCTGCCTTGTATTATTTGGGCGGAATTTTTTTTCCTTTTCTGCCTTTGTTTGCGTTTGGCGTATCACGTGTTGTTTGGGTGGAAAGAGGAAAGACTGTGGGAAAGGGGAAGGAATGAAAAGGGAAAGGGTATACCGTCTGTTCCTAAAAGTAGAGGAGGAGGAGGGTTTGGCACAAAGTGACACCTCGTGTCACCCTTGCGTCGCTTTTCGTCATGTATTGTCGGTGTGTGTTTGGCTGTGCTCCTTTTCTGTGGGTGCGTTCCTTTTTTTTTTGTGGCGAAATGAACAAACAAATCCGGCCACGGATGAAGTTTCAATTTGGCTGATAGTTCGAATGGGCTGAAAGCGATACACGGTTATTGGTGTTGATCCGGAAATTCGGACTGATGTTGGTTCCGCAATGTGTTTCACTGTCTGCAGATTGGAACGTAGTTGTACTGTTTCAACTTAAGAAAGGGTGAACGCTGTGGCGCCTTGAGTCTACCTAATTAAGCCTTCTGCGCTTGGCATGTGCCAGACGTCCTTTCGCGCATTAGGCATCGGCCATAATGTCCTGCTTTCCACCGTGTTAAGGCCCGTTCACACTCTTGCGACCTAGTAAGACCGAGAGAGACCAAACCGGTTTTTAAGCCTCTTGCGATCTCTTAGGACCAGCTCCGCTGCAGCGTATCCGGTCCTAAGAGGTCGCAAGAGGCTTAAAAACCGGTCTGGTCTTTCTCGGTCGTACTCAGTTGCAAGAGGGTGAACGGACCTTTAGAGTGGACTTTTGTGTCAAGTGTGTGTTGTCTCGTTTTGTCTTGTGTGTTTATTATCGCTACGAACCCTGGTTCGTTTCTGTGGATACAAACGAAGACAGCATTAATAAGGCAAAGACAAAGCTAAAGAACTCGACGATAGTATGTACTCTGTACAACATTTAAAGGCGTAAAAACTAGCTTGTATGAAAGCTAATCGTAACAGAATCCCCTAGACTGGGGACAGCACAGAGCTTTGCAATGTATTCTTCCTAAAGGATCCGTCAGGTAGCTATTGCCTATGGATCTTGGATCCTGAGCACTTCATGTTTTGCCGTTCGTATTGTTTGGTTAATAGCAGAGAAAGGAAGAAATGCAGGGCAGCGCGCACAAAAGACTGTCAAGAACCGTGTGCTTGTGTCGACCTTAGTCTCGCATTTCTGTTCAGTATGGGTCAGCCCCTCCTTCATCCACTTCTTTAACTTCAGCTTGGTGTACAGTGTGCGTGCGTGTGCTAATCCCGGTGCCCCCTTATTCAACCCCGATCGTAATGACGAATTACGACACAAACGGAACCGACGACCATCGGTTGTCACTCACGTCACTGATCCGTTTCGGACTGTGACCCATTTTGGCTCCGACACCTGCTGCCGATAGGCCTAGTTGATACAAAGCTGGTGTGTCGAATCAGTTTCTAGAGGCCGTTATGTGGCTAAAGTGAGTGCCAACTTAAACTACGGAGGGCGTGGCTTAATGTGTTATGTTATTCTTTCTTCGGCATCCTTCTGCGGAGCGGAAGTTCTTCTGCTTCTTGCGCAAGGTTTGCGGTGGCGTCGGAACGCCGAGCTCTTATTGGCTGGATTGGAAGGATAGTGGGTAGACCTCAAGGCAGCTATAGCACCGAGGTCGACCCGCTATCCCTCCAATGGGAGCCAATCAGAACACGGCGTCGTTCTGACGTCACCGCAACCCCTGCGCAGAAAGCAGACGAACTGCGTTGGCGCTGCTGTCGGGCATTGCGCGTGCGCAAATCGCTTTGTTCCTCCCGAATCTGGTTTGTGCGCAGGCGCGGTGCCCACAGCCGGTGTGAGAAAACGAGGGCTTGTTTGTAAGCGCTGTGTTGGTGTACAGTGTGTGTCTGTGCGTGTGCTAATCCCGGTGCCCCCCTTTGGTCCTCCTTGTAGTGCGGCCGCCCGGACACCCCGCCGGCGAGCTCCCGGCTGCGACTATGCTAGTCGTCGGAGAGGCCGGACAAACTCTCTGGGTAGGCCACGTCCCTGCACTCTCTCCTGCAACCCTCCTTGCCCTCTTCCCCCTGCACAAGGTCAACCCAGAGTATTTTCCACACCAGGGGGTCTCTCCGTCGTGTTAAAGCTTATGCTCCGATTACGGAACAGAGTAACGCTGAATGCTTTGCCACATACAAACAACAGCGCTGCTTGTTTCCGTAGTTTCCTTGTCCCTGTGGTCGTACTCTTTGTGCTTTTAAAAGTAAGCTGAAGAGTTTTTTTTTTGTTCTTTCTTTAGAAAACACATCTAAGTCTTTTTTATTTGAACACCAGAATCTCGAATATTGAAATTATTATATATAGATTTTTTTTTTTAATTTATTGCATGAGGGGCTGCAGAAAATCATTTTTGGAGTACCGCTGAAGGCCCTTCTGCCGGGAGCGTGACGTCACTAGAGGAGTTTTCGAAATCTCGCTATCGAGCATCTTCAGCCCCTCTCAAAGCTATGCACGCGGACTCTCGCTATCTTTAAAAAGGTCAGATAAAGACGTCACGACCGGTGCCAGTGCAGGGGACTATACCTGGCATGCTTGCGATTGCACGTGCGCGGCTCTCGAGCGATTCGCGCTTGGCGGTCGAAAGATCCTCTTATGACGTAACTACTGGTCGGAAAGGTTTTGGCAATTTCTCGCGTTTAGTTACATCTTCGGGGAAACGAACGTGATATTCAGATTCACGGGATAAAACCACGCTAGAATCCACCTCTTTCTCATTTTTGACAAAAAGAAAAGTGTTTCAGCTTCTCTTTAGGAGTGTACCAACGAGCCCAATTGTCCACGTGATTTATTTCTTACCTCAGTCTGTTACGGGTTAAGAAAATCAGCGCAAGCTCCTCCCACAAAACCCTCCTCCCTTTTCACTTTAGCTGAGCGAACGCTGGAGAGGAGGCGTGTGGAGAGTAGAAAAGCACCACTTATGGCGGCTCGAGAGCTTAGTGAGAAACCCTCGTGTCATCCTGCTTTTTTTACTTGCGGCAAAGTATATGGAGAATACTTTCCACGCCTTTAATTCGCATTAAACGGCGCGCCCACAGCGCCAAGTCTTATTCCTGTAATGGTGTGGGCGTCTCGCATCCGAGAGAACGAAGGCGCATCGCGCCAACACCTCCTGGATAACAATGCCGTAGTGCCGATAGAGATGTCATCAGCGAAGGCCAACGCTGGTCACTGATTGGACACGAGGATTGCGTCAAGGTTCGGCTCAAACTTGACTCGAAGCCGAGTGCTGACGCAGCAATCGTTTCCAATCTGTGTCCAGCGTCGGCCTCCGCTGATGACGCAAAAATGTCAGCACTATGGTCTTGTCTACTAGGCGGTGTTGATCGCGCTGTCTCGCTCCGAGGAAGAAGGTTACCGCCGGCGCACCGAGACACTGGGTTCGCCGAGACATATCCGAGGCGGCTGTCTTGACTCGTTCTTGAGAAGCCTCCGACGATAGATGGCGCCAGCCACCACCCGTCCCAAATTCCAGAGAGCGCGTAATACTGAGAGTGTCCAACTGTTGAATCGGGGTCACGTGGTTTACGGGCCGCGTTTGCAGTACGAGCTGAGAGGAGGTCCCGAAAGCCTTGATCGTCTGCAAACGCCTCCGCCTTCACACCTGCTTTCCAGCGCATGCGCACTTAATTGTGACCAGTCTCCGCAGGAGGCGTCCGCCATTAAATTGCAGATGGTCCTTATGGTCTGATATGGACCCTCTCTCCAATACAGGCTGTCGGACCATTTTAAAAAGAAAGCCACGACGGTCCGGCGCATCTAGCCGTTCGAACTACTCTAAACCTTTCCGCGCGAAGGTCATTGGATATTTGGGAAGTGAAATGTATTCCCCCTCTATTTTTGTTTTGTTTTTGCGAAGTGCTAAGTGAATAAGTATGCGTATTTCGCTCGATCTTTCTCGTGGCACTGCTGCTGCTCAGTGTTTGGGGGCCGAGAGCTTGTCGACCCGCCTATGGGGTCTTTTTCTCGGTCCCCACCTTATACTTGAAACGGGAATATATCTTATTATTATAAACTATTTTCTCGTTGCTCGCAGTATCGCGATAAAAATGTGAAGAATAAACGAAGTTCGAAGAACCGCGACGATTGTATTCTTCGAACCGCCCGGCATCGTGTACGTATAGAAGCAGCCACACAGTGTTGACGGAGTTTTCAGACTCAGTGTTGCTTACGTTTTAGCGAAGACGTCGAAGGAACGAGATGGGGGTGGGCATAGGAGAGGGGAACAGAGAGTTGTCACCACCCTGAGTAAGATGTGAATAGACAGTTGTCACCACCCTAAGGGGTGGGCATAGGAGAGGGGAACAGAGAGTTGTCACCACCCTAAGTAAAGCGAACGCAGAAGAATGCACCCTGCATATCAACCCAGAGTACGTTTTTGTTGGTTCGATGGTGCTTGTTGTCAGCCATTTGATGTATATCCACACCGAAGAATGTGTTCCATGGCGACAACATATCCAGTACAAAGTCAACCCCAAAGTTCTTTCCGCTGTCTGATTTCGTGTTATCGACTACGAAGACGCGCTGATTGGGCGTTGTGCTCAAGGTCAACCCCGAGCCGCGCTGGTTGGTTCATGCGCTGGCGGGTGGATCGCCGACGTCGTCTATAGACCTTTTCCACAAGGGGGCCGCCATCTTGAATTGTCGTCACTTCCAGTATGGGCGAAAAGATTACTTTGCCGTCGCCACGCCAATAGAAGACATTTAGAAAATAAACCTAACCGTCACACATTCTTGTTTTGGCTCCCCTCTATTTTTTTTACTAGTTACAGGTTGAAACGTTTTACTATTTTGTCGTCGCCCATACTGGAAGTGACGACAATTCAAGATGGCGGCGCTCCTGTGGAAAATGTCTATATTTTCAGACGATGTCGGCGATGTGAGGAGTCAAAAGATGCGAGAAAACAATCTGCGGCTGATGAGATGGAACCAGGGTCTTGTACTGCTGGTGGGATCACTTAATTATTACGTCTCCGTGTCGTCTCTCAACAGCGTGCGGGTGTTGGGCTGCACCGCTTTACACCAAAGTGCTAGGTGCAGCGGCTGCCATGGGTGAGCTCGATAGGCTGATTAATTATTAATTATGCTCAGTACTATTCAAGGTTTACTTTTTTTGTCCCGGTGGTAGATTGTTCTCCAATTTGGAAAATCTGCGCCGAGAAAAAAATACTGCGAGTGTATATTTGAATAAATGATAGTCAAGTTAGTTAGTTCCATTGTAGCTGTGATCGAAAGAACAGCGAACTTTGACTTTACTCTGGTTCCAACGCTGCTAAGGAACAGTGTATCTTACACGAGTGTAGGCTTTTACGATATTTGGGGGTGGTTGTTTTGGCAGTTCGTGATATTATGAATTGCCAAACAGTTCGTATGGTTATCAACTGTCTCAAGTTTAATAGGTTCACGAAACTTGGGGACGCGTCTTTGTCGGTAGACGAGCTGGTTTTCGCAGGCATTTTACAGAACTTTATACGGTCGGGACCTGTTATAACCAAGTCAACGGGGACCGGAAATCACTTCGCTATATCCGCTATTTCGTTATAACCGACTTCGGTTATAACGAAGTTCAAAAGGGAATGGGAAATGGTGATCGCTTCGCTGTAGCCGCTATTTCGTTATAACCGACTTCGTTATAACCGGTCTAGACAGTAGTATATAGGCTAAAGAAATTACCGACTGTAAAAGAGCGAGGCAAGAGAAACTTTATCCCAACTGAAGTTCTGCGCTATGATTCTTTTTAGGGCGCAGCTCTTAGGCGCCCGTTTCCGGCTTGAGCGGCGTCGGAGTAACCGCGAGCCCCCCCCCCCCCCCCCCCCCCCCCCCAAGGACCTCGGGAGGACCCCGGGGAAGGGGGTCACGTGACCCCCCTTCCCCAGGTCACGTGACACCCCCCCCCCCTCAGTATCTCTCCTCCTCCTCAAGAGCTGCGCTCTAATTTGGCGTTACAGGGAGTTGTAAACGGCTTTCACTTTTTTCAACAATTTTTAGTACCCGTTGTAAATAGGACCTTCTATGACTATAGCTTTATTTTTAAAGGCAATGTCCCGTGTTCATTTGGCGCCCTATCTGTTCTATTTACAAAAGTTAACAGGTTAATATGCTCCAGTATCAAAGAGGAACCCTCAGTCATGATCAAACTAAAACTAATTTAGCAATGCAATCAATTTTTTTTTCTTCTTTTTAAGTGGTACGCTAACGGATGCCGGTATTTGCTAAAAAAACAAAATCAGTGATTGCTCCAAACAAATGTTTTGCCTGCTACATAGCGTGCTACAAAAGGTCAAATGCCGTTTCCATCACTGGTATTGCTAAAATATTTGTATGGGCAGCTGTATAGGTTTATTAGCTATATCAATGCCCTCGTTTGTTTATTACCTTTATATGGCTTCATATATATTCGATGACAGAGTCAGTAGGGTCCATTAAAACTAAACTAGCTGGAGCAGTGGATGGTAACTTGAAAACAACCTTGAAGGGTTCGGTGGGATTGGTTTTAAGGAGGTATATTTATCATTCACATGCCGATGTGTGTTATCATGACTCCTACATATAAAATGTTATTGGTATTCACTATGAAATGCGAAACTTTCCTTTTTTTTAGTTTGTAATTGCGGTTTTATTAGATCCTTCAAAATTTAAATAAAACATCAGTTTGAGACGGGCTGGTAATGTGAATGCTGTGGAGATGTCCTGATTCATTAGGGCGAATTTCGAAGTTGATTTATTTATTTTTACTCGATCACGAATAATCTTGATAAAAATAAATTTAATGCTGTCATATTTTGTTCTGGATTCTAAAGGAAATTAACAGAATATACTATTTGCTTTACCCTTGATTCTGTACCGAAAATAACTATGCACTACATTTCACACTGTCCTTCATCAATCACCATCTCGTTGCCGTGTTCGGTGCTTCTACGCTCAACTAAGCAGTTTGTTCTGTGTTCGAGGGAATCAAACTTGCTGTGTAACTGGTGCT